CGAGCACACTCGAGAGAATGACGTTGAGGATACGTCTTTTCGGTTTACGGACGCCATTCGCTGCCGTCAAAGACCGGGGTCATGTGGAAAGCGATGGAGCTTAAAGACATTGCAGTCGCTCTCGCCGTGCCGGATTCCTTGCAAGCTACATACGTCCTCGGACAGTATTCGACTCCAACTGTCGATATTCGTGCGCCTTATGACCAAGCAACAGTGTCCCGATGACCGGGGCACTGTCGCCATCGAAACCCGTACCTCTAATCAAGTTTGCGAGTTTAAAACAGAGAAAATTTACACTTCCCTGTAACGCCGGTCAGAGCGCAGCTCTTGAGGAGGAAGATGGAAGCGTACTGAGGGATAGGTGACTCCTTGAGGTCACGTGAAATCAAAGGGGGTCACGTGACCTCATGGGGTCACGTGACCCCCCGTTGAAAAACGCGCGTAGCGCCGCTAGCGGAGGCGCTGGCGTTCGACAGTGAGGCGCGTCCGGCAGCCTGCGGCGCCTTTTCGCATGCCAAGCTGTGGCGGCGGAAGCGCGCACGGACGAAACTTTTGCTTTTTGAGCCGATGCGTTGAGGGTGACGTTACGTGAGTGCTGGCGCAGACCTAAGAAGGGCATTTAGTTGTTCTCTACTTCTTATATATAGAGTGAGTCGTTATTAGGGGTAATTTCTCTAGTTGCGGCCGAAAAAGGGGTTGGAGCAATTTTCCGAAAAGCAAGACGACCGCCACCATAACTGCTCTGAGTGAAGTTTGTTTCGCTCGTCGCTGTAAACGGGACTGCTGGAACGATGCTATTTGGAGGCGAGTGAGATGTTCACTAAGTTTGTGCACGAAGTGTGCCAAATGTTTCATTAAGACAGCAGGCGTGAAAGTTATGTTTCTATAACGAATAAAAATATAAAGCAATATTGGACCAAAATGTGTCATAACCGGGCTGTGCGAAGTGCAGATTTGGGCACACAGGTGCTTGGACTTGACAGTAACATGATACAGCACTTATTATACGAAAAAGGGGTGGCATAGCGAAACCAGGTGGCAATTTGGTTTGGGCGGCGTAACTCAATGGTAACCGGTTTTGACCATGAAAAAGCTGTTAAGAGAATACCACTCGTCGTGGGAGGTGGAGACTTTACAGGTAGGAAGGGACTAGTGGACTGTACTCCCAATTGGATAACTTTACGAAAGGTGGTTCTAAAGCCGAGAAAACAAAGTTGTCGGCCAACACATGGTTTGGCCGTCAAAGGCTTTTGCGGTCAGCTGTTGTGTAATAACCTGTTGTGCGAGGTGCTAATTTTCGGCACACAGGTACTTTGACATGACCGTAACTTGACGCAACACTTATTATAGCAAAAAGAGTTGGCATAGCGAAACCAAGTGGAAATTTAGTTTGGGCGGCGTAACTAAATGGGAACCAGTTTTGACCGTCAAAGGCTGTCAAGATAATACCACTCATCGTGGGAGGTGTACACTTTACAGGTAGGAAGGAACCAGTGGATGGTACTTCCGATTGGAACAACCGTCATGATAGGTGGCTCTAAAGCCGAGAGAAAAAAATCGTTGTCTATAGAACTCGGGGTGTCAGCGTTTCCAGATCCAAAAGGAGGCTGATCAAAAAAGAAAGCACACCACATAAACTTCCATACTCAATCGTCGATACTGCAGTGATTCCGAGTTTCATTGTAGTTTTCCTTAGATTCAAATTTGTCACTTTTGTTTTTTACCGTTCGAATTTTTCTAAATGAAGTACAGATTGCGTACCATTGTTGTCCGGAAATATCATCAACATGTACGTTGGGACGAAACATCTTTGGAGGGCATTCCTCCAACGAAATTGGCACTGCATACCCGCGAGTGTGGGGTGGCATTCCAGTTCGTCCTGTCGGCGCTAACACATGTAGGCGTCACTGGTACGAAAACAAACGCAGAGCGCAAAGCGGCAGTGTAGAATATGTCAGCCGTGCCGACACAGTGGCAGACATGATCGGGAGACTAAATTTCTCGCGTAGTACGGCACAGGTTTATCGTTGTCGCTGTCCCACAAAATATCGGCGAGGTGAAAAACTGTGAAACTTTGTCCCCACGAGATACGACGCATAACTATTTAAGCACTTAACGACGCAGCACCGGCAGCACTTCATGCTGTGAACTCAGCGCAACCGCACCGCTCCGACTTCAATGCGTACCAAAGTATACGTGGCGTGGTTTCGGTTTTGTTTTCTCTGGGGTTCTCACTGCCTACACTTCGGTAAGGGCCGCGCGGCGACGCGCCAGTCGCGTCGCACGGAGTGTATACCGGAAAGCCCGTCGAATTGACGACAGAACAATAGAGCACCCGGAGGCCGGAAAAGAGAGGAGAAACGGCAGAAGGGCGAGCGCAATAGTAGCGCAGGAGGCGATCTCTCATCAGCGCCAGCGGACCTAGCGGCCTCTCCGCAAAACGCATTTGTATTTTTTTCTTCGCCTTTTTTTGTTTGTTTCAAACGCAGTGGCAGCGAGGAAACGCGGAAAGGATGCGGTTACCGTTGCATGGAATAAAAGAGGAACCCTTCTCTTTCTCCATGTAAGCTGACGTCATATTTCTCCTCTAAAAAGAGAAAACAAAAAGAAAGAAGAGGTGTGTTTTTGGACGTGACCGCTCGTGCTATAGTGGCGCCACCAAGAGATCCCCTCCAGAACGCTTTGGGCATCCCCCTTCTTCGCCTTTCCTGACCCTTTTTCGTGGCTGCTTTTCTTTGGGTTCGGACAGGCTTTCTACCATAGAGGAGTCTGTGGTACAACCAAAACAATTAAGTTACACGCAACCCCAAACTCTCGTTGAAATTAACGGATCAAACATGAATTGTGAATGATACACCTCAACCTACATGATACCAACGAAGTGCAGACGCGGTCACGTGATACTTGAAACTACGTCACGACAAGAACCCGATGGTGGCGCCACTCCATCTACTCGGGGTCTGTAGTAGCCGAGGAGGCGACTGCTTTAACAAACACAGTGGGATTTAGGGATAGTGAGGGAAAAATAGACACGGGAAGGCGGAGACAACCAAGAAGAGATTATCTGACAGGTGGCATAAGTCGAGGGAAGGATTAATATCTTCCTATTCCCTTCCGGGCGACCCGTATACGGTGGAGTGTGTGGGCACCCGGTTGTATAGAGACGCCTCCGTGGTACGGATCGTACACAGCTTTTAAAAATAAATCTCTAGATATATAACTATATGGTTAAATAAATGTAAAAAAAAAGACACTGGCTAGGTGGCGCAATTTCCCGCCCTATTCAAAGGGTTCAGACTCATCCATCCATCGGGCCAATACAGATTTGCAAAGCTACAAGTCTGACATTTATGCATGCGAGATATCACCCTTCGATCTTACACAGACAAAATGACTGTCTTCGGATTTCCAAACAAACCACAAGAAACAACTTTAAGGCTTCAAACGTGTCAATGTATTGAAAAATCTCTTTGTTAAGAGCTCTGTCTGTCAATGCATGTGACAACGCCTTGTCGGAGCGCACATCTTCTGCAGAGAGCTGTCGCGTGCTTCCCTCTGTCACTCTGTGGGCTTCGAGGGTAACGTATCGCTTACTCTTCATCAAGTTATTCACAAGCGGATCATATCTGAATTTAACCTTACGGAGTTATGCTTACGGAATTATTCATGTTCTCGACCGGCAAATACCTGCCAAGGTAGAAGAATCTATCGTCAAGGAATCGTGGCGTTAGTCTGTGTCTACTTCTGGTTAACCCCGACCATTACAATAAAATAGAAAAAAAAAGTATAGCTTCTATAGCTTATTCATGCGTGTAATCGCAACATCGTATTCTGCAGGTCCGCTCCTCCTCAGTGAGTGTAATGAATTGATGGCTCTGAAGAAAATTATGATGTGTTGTGTAACATACTTCTCGCTGGCGGACGATAGGTCGAAGTCGTTATGGTCCGGGTACCAGGATGCTTGCAGGTAAGTTTCGGCGTTGTCTCGGAGAACGTCTTTACCTGCTCTGAACAATTGTAGTTGGGCCTCGTCGAACGGCGCTGCGTTCTTTGCGCCGAGTGTCTGTCATTTATGAAAACAATGGGGTGCTCCGATACATTTTGTTGGGCTTTGTTTAAATAAGCTCAGTATGGTAGCATGCCTAAAGACGTGGTACCGCAGTAACAAATTTTGATACGAGTTTACCTTTTGTTTTCACAAGATGAATGCAAACATGCCTGAAACGAGTATTTGTTTTCACTTCTATGGCATGCGCGGGCACAACTCGATACTCGCCAGAATAAAACACGAATACTTCTGTAAAGGTATATTTTATTTTTTTTGTTTGTTCTATAATAACCTTATGTGAACCGCCATGTCCTTGTGTTCAGCAGCGAGTAAAATATCCCGTCGATCTTCGTGGCTAGCTCAAAAATCCTCTTCCTTTATGATCTTGAACAGCGCGCTGCTGCGCTTAGCCGGCTCTGAACGGCACACAATAAGCACAACTTGGGGTTGCATTTTATATGATACTCCGGCAAGACACCACTGCCTTTTTACCTGAGCCGAATTAGAATCATGAGACGAAAGCAAGAAGCCAAAGTATGCTTGGAACCTGTGTCAGCCTGTCAGACTGATGTGTTTAACGTGCGTTTAATTTTTTTTTTGTCCCATCGATTCCCGACTGGTGATGTCATAACTGCGTAACGTTGGCGTTTGCCGCCATTCTTGCGGTGGTAGAGCAACACCAATGGATACGGCAAACGCCTGTTGTGGCGTAGGTTGCTCTGCAGCCGGCCAGTCAATGGAGCTTTCAGAAGGTACGAGATGGGACAACGTTCATAGATCGATTGTGACGCACCACCCGTGGCGTACCAACTTGTTTTCGACTAGTAGGCAAACCAGCCCAGCCCAGCCCCCCCCCCCCCCCCAGAGCCGGGAAGCTGTGTCCTTGGTATCCCTTGGGCGCCGCCGGCCAGAGTCTGCGCTGCCCAGTGTCGGCTGTTTCAGGGGGGGGGGGGGGGGGGGGGGGGGGGTGCAAAAAACTTGCCTTGCCACTCCACTTCGAGAACTGGGGAGAACTGGCGACAGGTGCGCGGCTGAAAACACACGCCGGGTTCGGAGATTTTTCTAATCAAACGATGGCCACTCTATTTTACGTGAAACCGGAAACATCACGATTATCTTTAAATCACACTAATGTTTTCTCGTTTTAGTGCGAAGGCATTAACTGTCCCATGGAGCGAAGCCGGCGTTATCTAAGTGAAGCCGGCGTTTTTGTTGTCTGTAGCAGCGAAAAACGGCACCTAAATTTCCATTGGATGAACGAAATGACACCTAAATTCGCATTCCCAATAAAACACAAAGAAAAGCACAGCAACACAATGCTTTGTCACGGAAGCCGTCGTGAAGCCGGCAGTGTTCGCCGCGCCTGCGGAAAGTGATCTCACCGCCGGAGTGCCATGTGCGAAAGGAAGACGTGGCGACCTGCTTGTAGGAATGCTTTGTGCGGAATGCTTTCGCATTCCTACACGTAAGCCATCTTAAGTGTGTCTGCCGATTTTTTTTTGTACAGCTACATCACTATGCTATGGTTAAAACCTTTAACGTCATGCCGGTACTTACGATGCGTAGATTTTCGGTACTTGTGAAAGCTGAGGACTCTGCAGTCTCATGGCGTATACGCTAAATATTTGGCTTTCGTTTTTATTTTTGAAAATGTTTTTAAGGAATTTCGAATACGTCCCTCTGCCTAAAATGGGACAGTGGGACATTCCCACTTTCGTGGGAATATCCCACGGTCAACGCGCCCAGAAAGTGAGGGAGAGAAGGAGGCAAGAGCGAGCGGGGACTTCAGAACGCTGAGCTCTGGTTGGATTGATTAGTGGGTAGATCTAAAGCTTTTGTCTCCACTGTTTTCGTTGAACGCTTTGGAATGCGAGAGCCAAACGCGGGACGCTGGCGTTCCGCGTCTAAAGGGTTGTGCCAATTGGCGCCGTGGTCCGTGAAGGTTTCACCGCTACAATGGGCGAAGGCTGCGGCAGAGAGCGCTAAAGCCCTGGACTAAGGGCCCCACCTAGACCAAAAGTCTCTTGCAATCAATAAAAGTTTACTCCTCCTCCTCCTTTGTCAAAAAAAAGCCGGGGACACTTCACTCCTCACCACGACAGATCACGGCAAGCCACGGCGTTTCGCCCCGTGACGTGTTGCATAACAAAGCCACTGCAAGCTACCAATCACGTTCCCGTGTGGGGTGGAGAGGTGGTTAATGCTTGGTTCGGCAAGGCTTGCGTGGATACGGGCGTCACGGCGGGGCGACCGGTCCGACTCCCGGATGCAGCGAAACACACCGAGCATGTGGACAGAGGGTGGGTCAGTGACAACACTTCTCCCTCTCCGACTGAACACGTCTTGCAACGACTCGCTGTCGTGTTCAAAGTTCAAACTGAAAGACGGAAAGAGAGTCCAGCTTTCTTGATTCAGCGGTGAAACGTTCACGGACCACAGCGCCAGTTTGCCGACGACCAGTTCGCGCTTTCCACTTTTATTCCTCTCCCTCCTTCTACCCTGTCCACCGCTGCCCGTTTTCTCCTCCCCCATGGTGAGGAGGATCTTCTGCCTTGCAGAATCTCGAGTCTGGTCTTCGGCTTTTAACGCGTTCGACAAGTGCGATGGAGACGAAGGCAGCTTTAGGTCTACCCACTAATCATTCCAACCAGAGCTCGGCGTTCTGACGTCGCTACGAGCTCTCGTCACCTCCTTTCCCTCAGTTTCTCGGCGCATGAACCGACCTCACTAACGTCGCATTCATGGCGCATTCACACTGGCAGTTTCCTGGCGATCAGGCGTGATCTTTTGAGACTTGCATTCGACAACCCTGTTTTACAATCCAAAATCCAGTTTAATAAGTGAAAATGTAGGTATTTTGGCACTCTGAAGATTTTTCTCCAGGCCGTTCGCATGCATTACGAGTTTCGGGCAGCGAGAAAAGAGTCATGGACCCGCAAAACCCACCTGCGATTCCATCGACTTCGTACACAAGCAGAGCCCCTCCAGGCGTAGGCGCGCCTTGCTGACTCAGAAGAGGATGGCCCCGACCCTTTCGTTCGCGGTGGACCCTTCCCGCATGAATATCTGACATTGCTCTCAAGATAGAGGGCCAGAGGCCAGATTCACGAAGAGTTTCTTAGGTATCGACAACTTAGCTAAGATGTTCGTAAGCTAAGAACATCGTTAGAAGAGGAGAAACTGGTATTCACGAACCCATTCTAAAGTGAGAGGAGGAAAGCGACGTTCTCGTACGGAAAAAGTAGAACTTCGGGTGTGCCGCAAGCTCCCGATCCCCGCGACAGCGGGCTGTTGCTATGGCGACGGCGTCTTCTGCAACACAACCAACCAAACGGAGAGCTCGGCATGGTTCGGAGCAGTTTGGAGCACGTGGGATTTGAATAACAAACACAGGAGGCCTTTCCCCAACGTTTGTCTGGGGTTCGTATCCGTGCTGTGAAATGTAGACGCTAATACGATTTAAACGGGCACGAATGCCAAGGCCGGGATAACCGCATTCATCGACTGCTGCAAACTTGATCGCTACGAAGTCAACAGAACTGTCATCGTTGCTAAAAGAAGACTGCCCGTGCCGGTCGTTTGGAAAGCGGCGTAGATAGAGACAAATCGCCAGGGAGTTTTTCGTGGCCTCGGAGGTGCAGGAGCGAGCCGACGTTAAAAAAGATACGTTTAAACTACGAAAGTGTCAGCATGAGCCACGCAAATACCTGTTCACACTTGGAGCGGGCGCGCGCGTTTGATCGAAGTGCTGGATTCGCGCTAATGAATCGCGCCTTGGTAAGCGCTTCGGGACCAATATTTTACGATTGCAACTCAATGCTGACGTGACACTCGGCAAAGAAAGCTTGGAGCGGCATCGCGTAGTTCCCACGAACTGTTCTTGCTTGACAATGTTCACGTACCGTCATATCAGAATAGAAATGGCATGCTAATAATGAAGTCTACATGCAATGTTGCGAAGGTAATCCATACGGCGTTCATTTGAGCTATATATCAAACAAAACAAGGAGATAGAATCGATGAGAGTCATTTTTCAATGACAACGTTCGTCACTAGTGCTTCGGAAAACAAGGGGACGACAAGAGGAAGATAATGACATCTCAATCTAAAATTGAGGTCAGCGATCAAACTACTAATAAAGGAACGATCTACAAGAGCCGCGTGGGAATATTCTAGTCGACAAGCCAGCCGGTCATGGGCAGACGGTTTTGGCCAGGGACAGTCGGAGGAACGCAGCATCGGAGCAGGTCGGAGTGACTTGCTACGCCTATATTCTGCCGAGCTCGCTCTTGGCGGTCGCTTGGTCGGTGGGATCGTTATTGTTGTAGCTTTTCCCGGGTGTTTGTGGATGCAACATTCATGTCCGTCGTGGTCGGTTTCAGGCACTTTTTTCCTTTTTCTTGGTGCTCGAAGTCGGAATGCGCGAGAAGAGCATGTAGAAAAAATAAATGTATGTTGGTCGTTGCGACCAAGTAACTGCTTGAGCGACGCTGTGGGCCATGTTGATTTGATTGCTAAAAAGTGCGTAAGCAGTGTTGCCAAGTAATAAAGGAGAAAAATAGCTGAACGGCTTTCCTAAAGTTGCTAAAGGTAGCTACATCCTCACGGAAGGAGTTAAAAATAGCGAAATGTCCCGGGTCCTTTCGAAACCTATTTTTTAGCTTCCAATGGTCCGATAAAGTTGACCCAATCGAATTTCGGGCCTGAAATTAAACTAAGGTTATCCACTGTACATTTTTGGTGCACTTAAAAAAAATATACTGAAGTGGGGCAGTTGTAAACGAAAACTTCAATTATTAAAACAATAATAATAATAACGCGCCGCGGTTGCTGCAGGCAGTGGCTTATCCAGTTTAACCGCTTACCCTACCCGGTTTATTCAGGAAGGACCGGGGTTGTAGCAGACCACTTCGCGAGCA